GGTGTGTGTGTGTGTGTGGGTGTGTTTGTGTGTGAGTGTGTGTGTGTGTGTGTGTGTGTGTGTGTATGTGAGTGTTAGCTATGTGTGAGTTTGCAAACTGTATGCTAGTTTACCTGTGTGAAGGTAGTCCTGTGTCGTCTGCGGGCCGGTGTGGGACAAGTTCCCGCCCCTGGCGTGTGACCGGAAGCTGCTCCCGGGGAAGTCCCGCCCAGTGACGTAGAGGACAGGGATAGCACCGGACTCGAACCTTCGGCCTTGATCTTCTTGAAGGCACCCTCTTGGCCTGAAAGACAAGAATGTACTTAAGTGTCGTGCTTGCACAAAGACGTCTCCCACTATACAATGTCAGAGATAGAGATCTCTTACATTTTTTAGGAGGAATCATTATGTCGGCTTCTGTGGAAGTGAAGGTTTTATATGCAAAGCTAAACTCTTTCATTTTTGTATTCATTATTATATACTTACTAATAAAAATGTTTTTCTTTTTTAGGGGTTTACCATTTCCGCAATCATCATTCAATACTTTTTAAAAAGCACAAAAAAGTAAATAAAATAAAATAAAACAAAACATATTAATTTAAAAAAACCAACAATTTAAATAAATTTAGAACGCATCATGAATCGTCATGGTAAATTTTGGTGGTTTGTTGTTCAAATGATTATAGTCCAGCAACGGCCACCATTTATTGTTTTATACAGTTTTTAAAACCCAGTAAATTAAACCGTTTTTTTTTTTAAACTTTAATTTTTAGAAATAATGTTTTTCCCTAGGTTGAGTTCTTTTGTATACGCATTCAGAGTGTGAGGAATCCTTATGTCCCTCTGCATGCTGTGAGTGTGCAAATACAGTCAAACCTGCCCTGACGGCCACCTCTATAAGACGGCCACCTGTACAAACGGCCACTTCCCATTTCCCCCCTTGCGTTTTTTCTGTATAATTTAACTGTGTAAAACGGGCACCTGTCTAACGCGGCCGCGGCCACCATATTTTATCACACAACCCCTATCACACAAAGTAATAACACCTGTCTAAGACGGCCACCTTAGTGACTCCATTACGTTTTGTCATAAATTGTGCACTGTCCCCTTGCGTTGTGGGTGAGCCGTCATAATCTAATCACCTGTCTTTGTTGTTAGGTAGTCCCTCCAACCGATCATGTTGCGTAGGCCCCTCCCACTGTTAACCAATAGGTAACAAAATTAATTTTCAGCTGCTGGTGAGGTAAGCGTGAGATCCCTCATAACCCATAAGCCCCGCCCAGAACTCATACACAAATCGTAAGTGAGATGAGTGGTCACTGTTTACCCAGTCTGTAACAAAGTAACAATGGACGTCAACATGAACTTGTAACAGAAGCGTCGCTCGTTCTCTGAATGGTAGCGACACATGTGTTTGTTTTACCATAGCACTCGGTCCTCCTTGTCTGGCACATTTCGTTTTATTGTCACCATTGCACAAAAGCGGCAACAAAATAAAAAAAGAGAGAACAACCCCAGCGAAAACAACAACAACAAAAATAACAACAACAACAATAACAATGCGACTACCTTCAGTTGCGACCTCAGAAAGGAAGGGTTTGTTTTCTCAGAAAGGAATGGTTTGTTTTCTTCTTCTTGATCAATCCTGCCTAAGACGGCCACCTGTCTTATACGGCCACTTTTCACCTTGACAATGGGTGGCCGTCTTACACAGGTTTGACTGTACATGCATAGCTCCATTTATGTATTACGGGTGGGAGAAAGTCCCTTGTTACGTGTTGCGGGTGTACACACATGTACTTCTCTCGTCATACGTCTTGCGGATGTACACACATGTACTTCTCTCGTCATACGTCTTGCGATTGTACACACATGTACTTCTCTCGTCATACGTCTTGCGGATGTACACACATGTACTTCTCTCGTCATACGTCTTATTACGGGCGTTTACAGATACATCTTCTTTTATATACCGTTGGTGTATACATAATATTATACACATTTTCTATATCTCCTGAGTATATGCAGATACTTTTTCTTTCATTTGTCCTGGAATTCAGATACACTTTGAGTTATATTATGTCGTGGATGTATACAAATAGTAAATCATCATTATTACCTTTCTCACCCTGCTCCAGGGTATAGGCCACGAACAAACACTTTCCACATTTCTCTTTCATGGGTACCCTCTTGATGCTATTCCAATACAACTAATACATCTTCTCTTTTATGTCGTGTGTGTACTAATACATTGTACATTTCTATATAAATACATTTAATTTGCTTATTATTTGAGGGGGTGGGGGTTGCCAGTGGTCTTTCGGTGAGCGGCTTAGAGTCACAAATGTTGTCAAGCAACATCGGTGAACAGAATTTGGTTAAGTATTCACTTTGGTGTTTTAGGTTTTTTTTCTTGTAAAACGCAATAGGCCTAGTTCAGAACAAGGAAACTGTACAGTAGTGACCATAGATAGTGTTTAAAATTGTGGGCCTTGGTGTGATATTGTGTTTTATGTGAAATCGACGTTATATGAAATTGTGTATACATTGAATAAGTACAATAGCCGTTGTAAGCCGAATTTTCTCACGAAGATGTATGAGTAAGCCAACCACTTTTTCATTCACTCAATCATTCATTCATTCGTGCATTCATTCATCCATTCGTACGTCCATTCATGTATTCATTCATGTATTCGTTCATTTAGTCCTTCCTACTTTCGTTGTTTCATTTAATGTTGTATTCCTCCCTTTCATCCTTCCTTCCTTCCTTCCTTCATTCCTTCCTTTTCCCCTATCTTTCACCATTTCATTAATTCATTCGTTCATTGAACAGGAACGTCGGGCAGCCATTTTTCCAGGATTTAGACCTTCGCCAGTTGTCAATCTCTCTGTCCAAATCACATGCGTCACCTCCCCCCCCCCCCCCCCCCCACACACACAACTCATGGTTCACACCGAGCTCTCAACCTGGAAATGACAGTCACTTGAGAAACTCGCACATGTAGATCACACCCTGACAACTTGTCAGACAAGTGACCGCCGCCAGTCTCGGACTCTATACACTTCTGTTGACTATGAAGAAATTCTGTTGTGGTGTTCCCCCTAAAATTTGAATGAGCAATAAAAAGTGTTACATGTCGATGCAAGTCTGTTCATCCATGTCTCGGTAGGTTGCAGTCATATTGTCAGGAGAACGAGAATACTCCCGCTTTTCTCTTCTCCATTTCCTTCTTGATATTTCTTGATTAATCGAACATTTCATTTAATCATGCCTCAGATTGCAATATTCTTTTCAATATTTCCTTTCAACCCAAAGATGAAGAAGGCACAGACGATCACTTGGATTATAAAAGTTGTAGAAATTCTGTAAACGGTTAACCTTGCTAGAAAGGTTTCGCTCTGCACTGCAAACATAATATTATTATTCCTCTCGTACGGAGAACTGAAGGATACACAAGTTTAAGGTAGCGTTCATTTAAAAACAAACAAATAAAACAGCAACCCCTTTCCCTCAAAACAACAACACAACAATAACAACAACAACAACAACAATAACAACAACAGCAACAATAACAACAACAACGAAAGAAACAAAACAACAACACCCTCCCCACAAAACAAACAAACAAACAAACAAACAAACAAAAAACAAAAACAAAAACCCGAGAAAACATCACCACTACCTCCAAGAACATGCAACAAATGTTGTACATATAGATTCTTATTAAAATGAAATAAGATAAAATAAAACCAACAAAAGACATTTGTAGGAATAAACGACGTCTATAATGATCCGTTTTAAAAATAGCATCCAAAATAGATGCTTCTGCGAACACATAAACTAAATTTGTTAACATTTCTGGGGCTTGATTGATCAATTAATATAAAAACTACTCGACAAAGAGAGAAAAGGGATACATATAAATGGATAAATGAAATAACTGGAGAAAGAACGAAAGAAAGAAAGCATTATATTGATGGTAAATAAATGAGAAAGGAATGAAAAATGAACGTGAAGTTTTGTTGTTGTGATATTTAAATGTTGTTGTTTTTGTTGCAGTAATAGTTATTATTATTTTTGTTGTTGACGTTGATTGTTATAACTGTCGTTATTGCTTACTTTTTAAAAATATTGTTTCTGACTTTTTAACGTTGTTATTGTTTTCTCTATGGCAAAGGCTCACCATTGAGCCTAATAGTTGTACACTTGTTATTAAAAAATAACAGGGGTCGTTCTCTCAGTCGTTGAAACTGGCCAGGAACACAATCAATTATTATATCATTGCCAAAGTCTTTTAAAAAAAGGTAGTAGACGGCGTGAAAGAGGTAAAAAAAACCTGTGCACTATGACGAAACAAACATCGCCAAATACAACAGAACCTGTTCTATCGACCACGTGTCCAATACAGCCACCTGTACAAAGATCGCTTTCTAGCCCCCCCCCCCCCCCCGGGGTTTTAAAACATTAATCAAAATAACACTTTCAAAGACGTCCACCTGTCTAAGACAATCACTTTTCCCTTCCCCTCGACAGTTGGTTGAAATTTTTGGACATTTATAGAAAACAGAATACGACCGGCGACTTGAACCGAAAAAGTGATGTTGGTAGGTGAGGTAAAGCATGGAAGCACTAAAGCCACAAAAAAATTAATAACAAAGGTTCCTGACTCATTGGAGCAGAGGAAGATAAGACTAACGCTAACATTACTTAAACGCAATCAGTCATCGTCACTCATCACCACCATTATATCTAAAATCATCACCGCTATCAGATCAATGACTTACATCTATAATCCTGGAATCTCTATCTGCTGTTACAGTTACTTGTTATACTAAGTATGCACGTAATACACTATTAGACACTATCATATGCACTTTTTTTCTGCTAACTAGATGGCGTCAATCTCATATAAATGGGCAAGGGGAAAAAACAAACAAAGGTTTGTTTATTTTTGGCTGTTATGGCGGTGTTGTAGTTGCGGTTGCAGATGCAGTTGTTTATGTTGTTGTTTATGTTTATGTTGTTGTTTATGTTGTTGTTTATGTTTATGTTGTTGTTTATGTTTATGTTGTTGTTTATGTTGTTGTTGTTTATGTTTATGTTGTTGTTTATGTTGTTGTTGTTGTTTATGTTTATGTTGTTGTTTATGTTTATGTTGTTGTTTATGTTGTTGTTGTTTATGTTTATGTTGTTGTTTATGTTGTTGTTGTTGTTTATGTTTATGTTGTTGTTTATGTTTATGTTGTTGTTGTTATTTATGCCAATATAATTATTATCGATGGCGTTGTTATCAAAGTCACTTTTGTCCAAATTATAGAACAAGTTAATATTTTATTTCTCCGCTGTGTGTTCCGGAACTTAGATTGACAGGCGACATCTGTGATCAAGTGGTAGAGTCTTGCTTCAGTCTCCGTGATCATGGTTCAATGCTTTTCTTCTGCACCCCCCCCCCCTTCATTTTAGACCCCTTCCTCCCACAATGAAAAAGAATAAAACAACACCCCCTCCCCCCCCCCCTCGAAAAAAAAGAAAGTAAATAATTCAATCAAAAATATAAATGGTGACAATAACAGAAAAAACAAAACCTCAACTAATAACAGCAACCAACAAAGAAAACAGAAAGAAAGCAACACCCCCCCCCCCCAAACAACAACAACAACAAAAACAAACAAACAACCCCCCCCAAAAAAAAAAAAACAACCCAACAACAAAGCACACACATGAAAGCAAAACAAAACAAAATTCATTAAACAATAAAAACAAAACGAGAAGATAAAAAAAGCCCCCAGGCGTAAAATTCACGAGCAATACAGACAGGGCTCCCCGAAATGATTTGTCTAGTTCCTAAACTATGTTTAGGGACATTGAGAGCGTGTTTGGATTCAAACGGACCCACGGGCTTAATTCATTTCTTGAGCTTACACGTCTTTGAAGAAACATTTAATGTGCATAATACTTGATAAAATAATACTTTCATTTTTATTTTTGGAATAAACTTTTATTGTCCTTTCTTTATTTTTCAGCTAAAAAGACTGGAGACGTGTATGTATCGATATCTAGCGATAGTGATAAGTTCCATTTATTGTTCACTAATTATCTTATCTTCCCCAAACCAACAACAGTGTAACGGCTCTAACGACCATCAACCAATATTTGTAGTGAACACGAAGAGCTTGAATATTTGGTTTGATTTTTAATTCTTTAGATTTCAATTTGTGCTTATAATTTTTCATTTGCGTTCTTGACATTCGGTTTTTTTTTATTGTGTTAAAAGGCCACGGTAAAGGCAGAAACAAAAACAAAACACAAACAAACACACACGGGCACACACACACATTCATAAAAAAGGAAAAACACACAAAAACCCCACCAAAAAACAAAACAAAACAAAAACCAGTCTCAAACGATATCCGCCTAGTTTAAAAAAAACAACAACTAAGGACTGACATTTACTTTTTTTGGTAAAAATATCCCACCTCAACCTGACAGGATTGAATGTAGAACTGATACATTTTAATGTTATCGTGATCATTTAAACTTCTTCGCGTGGCTGATACATTTGTTTGTTTGTCTTGCTTTCGTTCATGAGAGAATTATTTGCAATTTCACAGTTTTGTTTTGTTACTTTGTTTGATCGTTTGTTTGTTGGTGGATTGGTTGGTTGGTTCGTCGGTTGGTTTCTTTGTTTGTTTGTTTGTTTGTTTTTAGTTAGTTAGTTAGTTAGTTAGTTAGTTAGTTATTTAGTTAGTTAGTTACTTTATTTATTTATTTATTTATTTGTCTGTTTGTTTGTTTGCTTGTTCGTTTGTTTGTTTATTCATTTTTAGTCTGTTTGTTTGTTTGTTCGTCTGTCTGTTGTGTTAGAATCGTTCATCTTTTACTTGTCTGGGTTCAGGATCTCTCACTGAAAATTACGGAGATCTAAAAAACTGAGTCCAAAACTCCCTTGCGTCCTAAGTGAACGAGCGAGGACTGGAATAAACGAAAACCTATTTAGGACGATTTTTTGAAAATCTCAAGTCCTTGGGTTCTAGGGTATAATCTGTCTCTGCATCACATTCCCGAAACATTAAGTGTTGATGGTAAATGGAGACAGGGAAAAGAAAACAATCCCAAAAGTAATATGCACACGGAAGTTAATAATGAGCAATTATTGGCTGACAGAACAGAGAGAACAAAAATAAG